GACCTGGAGAGCAGTGTTGTCACCCGTGGCGTCTGCGGCAGGAGCACGGGACCCAAAGGTGTCCTCGATGGTCCCCGAGGCCCCCGGGGGCCGCTTGTCGCCCTCACATCATGAGAGCGAGTGAGGGGGCCGAGGAGACAGAGGGAGACAGAGACAGAGAGATGGGGAGAGACAGAGACGGACACAAGATGCAGGTGGGAGGGGCGGTGAGCCAGCGGGCAGGCGACTTGGTCCCTTGTGAGCTGCCCTGGCCTTTGCAGGTTTGGCCACCAGGTCAGGCCGTGCTCGGGGGAGGGGACTGGGCAGGCGTGAAGTCCCGCTGGCGGGGGGCCTGGCTCACTCACTGGGTGCGTGTCCCCCGGCGAGGGGGGCAGTGTTCGGGGTCTATGTCCTTTTACGTTAGGGCTGCTCCTGTGACTGCTGTGCTGAAAGGACCTCATATTTCTCTTGTATGCGCGTCGGTGCTGATGTTAAGGAATGCTGTGGACTAGGTTTTCTCATGATTTCCACGAGGGCCAGCGATGATGGATTTTGTCTTTTTCTCGTCACCATGACAGCACTGATGCGCTGGGTGTGCCCGTGTGGCTCGGGAAGTGCCACAGCCTTTCAGGATGAGTCAGGAGGAGGTTACTGAGGTGAAGGTGCGTGCGTGCGTGCGTGCAAACTGGCTCCCTCAGCGCCCCTCCCTGGTGGGCGGGCCCTGGCCTGTGCGGAATCCTCGAGGTCCAGCGAAGGAGGCCGGGAGGTGAGGCAGAGGCAGACTGGGGGGGAGATGCGGCAGGGCTCAGCCAGGTCACGCCTCCTGGTGGCAGGTGATGAGCTGGGGCCCCACTTTGCATTTCTCAAGCCTGGAGCGTGGTAGTGTCGGCAGTAGGAAGGTTTGCTAGTTTAAGTAAAGTAGTTGTCAGCTTTTCAGCTTTCGTTCTTAATTGTTCAGCTCTTTCTAGCAGCATTGTGTGTTTTGGGAACACGTGTTTTACCGTCATTGCTACCGTGAATGGGATAGCTGTGCCTACTGTAATTGAGTAACCGACTTTTTCCGTTAACTACAAACACAAAAGGCTGAATATGGTTTTTCTAAGGAAAATTAAGGTTAGTTATGGCAAACGAGTGCCTTTGTTGTTGGTTTGCATGTAATGGATTTAGCAGCATGGTATTTCCCTAGAGGAAGCCAGGTTTGCACCTTAAATACAAAGATTTTGTCAGAAAGCAAGTCCAGAGCGCTGATGTTCCAATTCATTGCAATTTCAGAAATACGTCTCGAAGGTCAAGCGCCACCTGTGTTTTGATGCTTGTTGTCAGGGCCCCGAGCTCGTAGCCTCTGGGCTGCAAGGCGCGGGGAGAGGCCCTGAGGCCTGCTCCTGAAGCGGGCGTTTTAGAAAAGGCTGCAGCCGAGACTGGGGTGGAGGGTGGCTTGTGGGTGACAATGCCCGCGACCCCTCCACGCGTACCTGGGGTGGACCGGCTCCTCTCCCGAGGTCTGCGCTGTCCGTGGTCTGTCCTGCTCCGGTGCGGTGTCCTGCAGCGCAAGGGCGGTGCAGAGATGCTGTCCCCACACGGAGCCTGGGGCGGGCTAGGGTGTCGGCCTGAGTCGTCTTCAGGCCCGCAGACGACTCTGTCACCTTCCTACAGAGCCGGGCGAGAGGGGCCTTGGGTTCAGGGGTGATGGCGACGTCTGTGTGCAGCGTCTCTGGTAAGTTTAGAAGGTGAGGCGGAGCCGTCTCGGCAGCAGGGTGACCTCGAGGGTCTGCCCTGCTCCAATGCTGTTGCTCTGACGTCTCGAGCTGCTTGACTGTGGCTGCCGCCCGCCCACCCGAGGCCAGTGCCGCTCGCTTAGTCCCTCAGAAAGGACTCCTCTGGGGTCGGGCAACCTGAGAAATTGCTGGGCTGTGACTGCGTGTCGTTGATGGTTTGCGGTCGCGTCACATCCAGGGGTCACGGCCGCGGCTGCCCACGGCCGTGAGGTTTGCCCCCAAAGTGGCGGCCGGATGGTGAACAGCAGTGCTTTGTTATGTTCTGAGGAAACCTGTAACCGGCATCATCTCTGGGTGGGAACAGTGATCCCAAAATTCAGTGGCCGAAAGTAACAACACACATGTATTCTCCCAGCAGCTGGGGAGGGTCGGGTGCGGGTGGCCTTGCCGAGAGGTCTGTCCCTGGGTCTGGCGGCGTCCGAGGGGTGAGGCGGCCACCCCGGGGGGGCCTTGGTGTCCTCGCGGCACCCCGAGCGAGTGGCACAGGAGGAGGGGCGACCCCGCTGTGGGGCCCAGCCGCGGTCCCCACTGGTCCCCGGTGAGGGCGGGAGTCCCCTGAGGCCGGTGCTCGGCTCTGAGGCCCCAGGTCCAGGCTGCTCCTCCAGGCTCAGTGAGGAGGTCCCCGCGGCGCTGGTGCGACATTTGCACATTGCGGTGCTTCAGGTTGTCTGAAGGGAGGATTTCTCAGGTATTTGTTTCCTTCACGTGCAGGTGAGCTTGTGTCTCCTCTGTGATTCTGACACGTTGTGTAGGGAAGTAGAGGGAGTTTGTGCACCTGGGAGCCTGACTGGGTGCAGGCCGCCGTCCACGCAGCCGTCCGTGTGAGGGGACGGGCCCCTCCGGGCCGTTGGGCCTCGGTCGGGTGTTGGGTGTCACAGGCTTCTCGCCCCTGCTGGGAGATCAGGGCTGAGTACCCGGCAGCTCTGGGGGGGTCTCTCTGGAGGCGGCGAAGCCCGATCCATGGCTCTGGGTGGCGTCACCACGGGGGGTCAGCTGGCACCGGTGGGGGGCCCTGCGGCGGCCCAGACGTCCACGAGGGGACCGCTGAGAGCCCGGCGGGAGACGCAGGCGCTGTCGTGGGTTCCGGCCCCGTCTCCGCGTTGGCTCCCCGCTGGAGTGTGGGAGGCTCTGGAGCACCACGCGGTGGGTGCAGGCGGCGTGGCGTCCAGGGTCATGAGGCCGCTTCTGTGCAGTGTCGCCGCGGAGCCGGCTCTGCCCCAGAGCTCATGAGCCGTTTGCCTCGTTTCTCCTACGTTTCCTGGTCCAAGTTCCCCTGGCTTAGGTGGGAGGCTGGGGCTGGCAGAGAAGGGTAGCCCTTTGCCCCACCCTCAGCAGTTTGCAGGATGGGCCGTGCCCGTCGGCTCTGGCCGGGCATCCATTGCAGAGAGCCTGCGGCCGAGGAACGGAGGGCGGGCCCTGCGTCCGGGGTGGGGGGCGAGCGCCCCAACGCAGGGCTTCCTGGGCGTGAGCTGCCGAGCTATCGTGGGTCACGTCGCTGTGGGCCAAGCGTGAGAACCGAGCAGGCCGGGGGCTTCGGGGCCCTGGCCGACGGGGGCAGCGGCATTGTTCGGCGCAGGGGATGCTGGTCCCCAGGGCGGGCCGCCCCTGCGCCCTGCAGGCACTGGCCTCGTCATGGGGGCGGGCAGACCTCCTTGACCGCCAGCTGGCATGTCTGCATCGGGTCTCTGCTCTGCGGCTGCAGCGTCCACGCGGAGTCAGCTCTGGGGGAACAGGACGGGGAACATGGAAGCCGGAGGGAAGGGCGGGGAGCCTGGGGCCCCCTGCCCGGTGCTGCCGTCCAGGTGAGGGGGACCAGCCTCTCTCCTCGCCTCTTTCAGGTGCGTGTCCTTATACGGCCCTTCCTGGCCGTGGCGGGTCTTCGCTCTGGGGCTCTGGGGCTCCAAGCCTGCGTTACTGGGGCGTTTCTGGGACCCGTGAGATGCGGGCTCCCCAGCCGTGATCCGCGGTGGTCCTTGTGGTCAGGCACTTGGTCCTCCCTCTCGTTTTCTTGGGGGGTCAGGAAACGGCCACAGGGCGTTGCTGGGCTCAGCTTGTGGGTGGCCCCTCCCCCGTGGGGCCTGCCTTTGTCTGGGGCCTCAGCAGGTCGGGGGGCTCCCCCGCCTACCTGTGGGGGATGTGCATGCGTTTGAGCGCCTCACGGACGTGCCCGCCCAGCCCCACCTCGGTGCAGGGCTGAGGTGGGCTTCTCCATGGCCGGTCTCGGGGGGCGCTGGGCAGGGTCTCCATTAGCTTTTGTTTTCACACCTGATTGTTGCGGGCACGTGCGAGGTGTGCGTTGCTGTGTATATGGACCTGTGAGCGTGTGGTGTGCATTGGTGCGCGTGTGTGTGCGTCTGTATGTGCACACGCACGCATATCCGTGTCTGGCGGCCAGGTCCGGTCGGGAGAGCTGGATTTCGGGCCCCGCTCTGAGCAGAGCCGCTGGGTCCAGGGTGTGGCTGCAGATACCCCTCCTGACGCTTGGCGGAGCAGAGAAACGCTGGCGGTTCTCAGACGTTGGGAAGCTGCTGCCGCACAGGCCTGGCGCGGGCGGGCAGGGTGGTGCCGTGGCTGGTCTGTGGAGGTCCGGGTCCCCAGCGTGTCTCACCCGAGGCCGTCACTGTGACAGTTCGGGTGGTGCTCCGAGCCCTCCGTGGTCGCACGTGTCGGACACACGTTTCTTTCGTTCAGCGGCCCATCGTCCTGGTGCCCCAAACGCGCTTGACCGTGAGGTGCCGCCCTGTGCCCCTCTGGTCGCCCTGGGACAAGGGGGGCGCTGGGGGGTGTTGGGTGCATCCCGTGGCCGTGAAGGGCAGGGACGGATGCGCCCCAGGCCCACGCCCCCCATGCAGAGATGGTCTGTCCTGATGCTGGGAGCGCGGTGTCTGGCGCTCTGACAGAACCAAAGGTGCTGTTCTCAGGCCAGAGCACCAGTTTGCTTTCCCGGTGGCCCACCCGTGGTTACGCATCGCTGATCCCAAATGTGAAATGCCATGTGACTTAGTTCATAACTAAGGGAAGTGTTGCACGGTGTCCCGAAGGCTGAGCTTCAGAGGCTGACAGGATCATTTTCCCGCTGCTGAGAGCCGATCACGGTGGGTGAGCCAGCACGTGCCCCCGGGCCTCGTGGCTGCGTGGGGACGGCGAGGTCCCTTGAGGTGTGTCGCGAGGTGTGCGAGCGGCGGGTTGCTGGGTGGACTGCCGCTCTCCCCACGCCCGCTCACTGTGTTGTCGTTGCCCCCACAGGCCGGTCTAATTGAAGCCAACGGGGAACTCAAGGTCTTCATCGACCAGAACCTTAGTCCTGGAAAAGGTAAGGGTGCCTGTCTCGGGAAGGCACGTCTCTGGATAAGTGTGTTCAGTGTGGGGTGGGTGTGAGCCCCCTGACATGAAGACCCCTGTCAGCGGTGGGAGCCCCACTTGGGGAGCTGCCTGCCTGGAGCCCCCGAAGGACCGGGGCCAGCGCCCCAGTTTACTTTGGTTAGTAAGTTGCGTGCTATATGCAGAGATTCGGGAAGGGCGTGAGGAAGAGAACACAGCACAGGGCACGGTACTCCTTCCGCCTCAGGGCAGCCACGCTGATGCCCATGAAGCCCACGTCAAACCTGCGGGTGCGTGGCGCCCCCGTGAGAGAGCGGCGTCTCCTCGTCTGCGCTGTGTCCTGAATGAGCCTCAACGTCTGTCTGCACCCTTGGGATTGAGGGGAGGGGGTGGGGCGGGGCGTTGCGGCCCCTCTTCCCAGGGGCCCCAAGCTTTGCAGTTTCCTTCCTGTAGGGACACGGGATGGACGCCTGCTAGTGGGTGTGTTTGAGCCGGTCTCCCAGCTGTGGATTTGCTGGGTCAGAAGGACGCCCACCTCGAGGTGCTGGCCTGTGATGCCTGGTGGACCAGGCCGTGCCGTGCAGGGCCGCAGCTGCAGGGCCTTCCTTCCTCTGATCTGTGTCTGCCTTCGGCGTGCTTGCTGTTGCCTTTCAAATGGGAAAGTTTTCATCAAACAGATAATACGTGTTCACTGAAAAAAAGCGCTGATCGTACCCAAGGGTGCAGTTGAAGACGTAAATGTGTGTTTAAGTGCACGTTTCCTCGGGAGCATCTGACACCTGGTGTCCATGCACGTGGTGTCCTGGGACCTGCGTTGTCCTCTCCCGGCAACATCTGGTGCCACCTTTTGTGGCCCGATGGCAGCTCTGGGCACCTGAGTACCGGCTGCGCGTAGGCCACCATCTTCCACTCCCGGGAGGTGCTGTTTCCCAGGGCGGGTCCCCATCTCACTGGTGAGGGGCGTCCTCTGGGGACGCGGGTCCCTCCGGTTCACGCTGTCCCTCAGCCTGAGGATGGGCTTCTCGGGCAGCAGAGGTGAGACCTTAGTAGTGACGTGCGGCTGGAGGCTTGGTGTCGCTTTACGATTCTTGAGACTCGGAACCTACCCTCCAGACACACACCCGCAGGGTGGACTCAGCTTCCGGTATTGCTGGGAAGCCTGTTGTAGGAGGACGAGGTGCCCCTCCCCACTGTGGCCCCCTGGGGCAGGGCGGGGGCTCAGAGGACGTTCCAGATGGGGACGGTTCTCGGGGAGGTGGAAGGCTGCTCCCCAGGACGTGGTGGGGCGTCGCCCAGGAGTGGCCGGGGTCAGGGCGCCAAGACGGCCAGAGGGTGCCCCAGGCCCGTGGATGCTGCATCTTGACCTATGCGGGAGCTCCCACAGGGCCTGCCCATGAGTGGTGTGTCCACGTGGGCAGGTGTGGCCGCTGTAATGGCCCAGGAGGGCAGCTCCCGCTGATGCCTGAGAACCAAGGAAGCCGCCGGGCTCTTCCAGTGCGAGTGGCCGCCTTGCCCTGACCCTTTTGGCCACGTTAGCCCACAGAGTATTTGTAGCATGGCAGGCAAATAGTAACTCTTCAAACATTAGGTTCTGGAAATTTTTAAACGTTTACTTAAAATTATTCTCAAGAAAACACTAAACCTCACGTTTTCATACTTTAAGGTATCTTAAAACCTATGGATATTAATGATATGGTTACTAATGATAAACCTATGTAATAATTTTAGAATCCTTTTTCTGTTAATGGTTATAACAGATCAGACAGTATATATTCTTAACTCGTTTTTTTTGAAAGGAATTCTCCAGTTCATAATGTTATATTTGAAAATACTTTGGTAGTTCCTTTAAGAAAGGCTTTGTAGTACATTTTATGGCTAAAGCAGTGTTATTTCTAGGGAGCAGATTCCTAGCTTGTGTTATAATTTAACCCTCCCTGTGGCTGAGATGTTTTGCCCCCGCCCCCATAAATGGGTTGTGTGTGGCACCTTTATTAGGAAAATGTGTAAAGCATTCTGATTTCTCTGGCCAGATTAAACCAAAAGGGGAATACCATTCCATGCCCGATGTTGACCAAAAGTAGCAAATCTCAACTGAGTCAACAGTTGTCAGAAACCTGGGAGAGGGTGCTGGGGTGTGTGCGTGCACGTACTCGTGCCACAGAACAGCCGCAGGCCAGCGCTGGGCTGAATCCCGTGACGCAGAAGGTCACCTGGGACCCAGGTTCCCTTGGAGAAGGGGCACCAGGAACACGTAGATATTACATTGTATGTTTGTATAGTTACACATGTTATATGATATTAAAATGGAATCGGCCCAGCCTTAGAGGAAGTCGGCTAGATCTCTCTGTGGGTCAGTTTCAAAAACATCAGAATCAGAGTTGCAGAATGTGTACAGTATGCACTACCTTCTAGATTTAAAGGCCCGCAAACAGCACTCACGTTGTTCGTGGATGCGTGGGCGTGCGTGGGAAGCGTGGAAGACGGAGTGAACGCTCTGAGCGCGGTAGCTGCTGGCCGGGCGGAGTGGGGAGCTTTTCGGCAGAGACAGTGAAATGGCGCTCATGATTCTGTGCGTGCTGTGCACTGGCGTTAAGGCTGCCTGCAAAGTTATTACTTGTATTTGCAGCATACACGCAAGGGGAAGATCCCCGGGGTGGGACAGGCGGCGTGGGTGCGGGTGAGGAGGGGCTGGCCTGGTCCACCCCCGAGTTCTCCCCCCGCCGGGCTGGGCAAAGGCGGGAGCCCGGGTAGCGGCTGGGTGTCGCAGCCGGACCTGCAGACCGGCGGCGAGGTGGCCGCGCAGCCCTCCGTGGATGTGGCCTCCACATAACGACGGACAAATGGGCTTTAAAGGCCAGCGCCGGGAGCCCTGCCGGGCAGCTGCTGTGGGCTTTGACCCGGTAAGCTTCCGCGCTCACGGGTGGTTGAAAACGGAATCATTTGCAAATTGAAAAAGAAGTTATTCTTTTTAGTGAAAGTAACCAATTCCGTATTTTTAAACTTACTAGTCACTCATATGTACGTAAATCTGAACGTGGTATGTTTAATTGCCGAAGTGTACTTTAAATCTCTCAGTGCAAAACAGAATAATTTTGTGTCTTTTAAAAAATGTTTCTCATATCCAAAACAATTTTTTAAATATTTGTTTTTGTTAAGATACAGATCTCTATTTTTAGAGGAATATAAAAAACTCAAAGCAGATAAACCTATTTTGCTTACAGCCAATAGTTTAAATTTTTTTGGTGTTGATTGGTAAAAATATTAATATTCAGTTGAAGGATACATATCTATCTTCGTCAACTTAGGTTAATGGAAATTATTCATTGTTCGTACGTAGCATCAAAATTCATTGTTTACTGCAATTTGAAGAAATTTATTTAAAATGCATGGATTGTGAAGAGTTCAAAAATGAGACCTCGGACCAGACCAGACGGAAGGCCATGTCTCTCCCTCTTGCTGAACCTGGTGGAAGTGAAGGAAAACGCCCTCCGGTGGCAGCCTGGTGCAAGGCTCCCCGCCCGTAGAACCCTAGCCACCCACCCTGCGGGGACCGGAGCCCGTGCGCTTTAGGGGAACCGGGGGGTCCTGTCCACACGGGGCTTTCTCCCTCCCTCAAGTGGGGCTGGAAATCCATGTCTTCTCACCTGAGACCGTCCCGGCCCTTCCAGGACGCTTGTGCACCCAGGCCCGCCTGCCGGTTTCCCCCGAGCACACGAGCCCTCTGGTGTCGGCGGGGCAAGGGGTTCACCGTTGTATCCCTGGGGCCGAGGCTGGTGCTGGGCACACAGCGCTCTCAGCAGGCCCGTGTTGGGGGAGGAAAGTTTCCGTCCTCGCTGAGGTGTTTCCCCAGCTCTGTGTTAGGTTATCTGACTGTTTAAAGAGGTGGCAGCTCCTCACAAGTCACTCTTCCTGGAAACAGAAACGGATTCTACTTCTCGAGGAAGAGCAGATCGTTGGATTTCTACGCCAGGTTGCCAACACACAGAGAAGTGTTGGAATACAAGTTAATTCCAACTGTGAAGTTCTGTAATTGTCTTAGAATTGCAGACTTGAAGAGCCGTTTAGCTTCGGGGCCTGTGGTCCCAGCAGAACATTCTGTCGGTGGCCAGACAGCCCACAGGGGTTGGGTAGGTTGGTGACGGCCTGGGTGCCCTGGAGCCACCGATCCCTGGACGCGAGGGCACAGGGGCGGGTAGGGGTCGTCGTAGGGAGAGTGGCAGCGTGGGTGCAGCCCCCTCAGATTTGGGCATCGGGCTTCGTAGCGTTGCTCGCAGCGGACCGCGGGTCTAACACGGTCGGGGGCAGTCAGGCTGTCTCCCAAGGAGCAGCTTCACCCTGACACTGGTACGTGGAGCCTCAGTTCAGGAAGGGCGTGACCTCTGGTCTCCTTGCGTTGCAGGTGTGGTGTCCTTAGTGGCCGTTCATCCCTCCACAGTAAACACGCTTGGGAAGCAGCTCTTGCCAAAAACGTTTGGACAGTCCAATGTCAACATCGCTCAGCAAGTGGTAAGGCCGGGAGGGTGGTGCACGGTTGGCCCTGTGGCTTCCCTTCCTGGGCCCGCAGGTTTCAGGAGCACGTGGCCAGTGCCATTTGCCCTCCCCCGGCTTGGGCCTTCCTGTGTGTGCCGCTGGACGGCGGGACCCGGCCAGGCCAGGGCAGCTTCCCCGCCGGCCGCGCTGGTCCCGCGTCTGCCCTGATGGTGTTTCCTGGGGTGACGCGTGCTCTTGGGCCCGAGCTGGTGCGGGCTGGCCGCTCCCGGGCCTGGGCCCTCCTCAGGGCGGGCCGATTGCCGGCCCGGGACACGAGACTGGTGTCCGTGCGGGCCTCACGGCGGGCTCAGGGCTCTGCCGGCCGTCAGGTGCTGCAGGGCGCGGGCTTCCCTGCCCATCCTGGCCGATGGGAGGGGGTCAGAGGCGGGCCTGCGCTCCTGGGACTGTGCCAGTCGCCCCTCCTCCAAGTACTCCCACCGGCCCGTCAGCTTCCACCTGTGAGGTTTGGCGGCTCCCTTCCTGAAGGGACTCACAGGCTCCACGGGGCCGTGCGAGGAGGGGAGTTCACTGCCCACTGCCCCGCCAGGCGGTGCCCCGGGCAGCTGTGTGGCCTCTCCCCGTCAGTGAGCTGGGACCACGTTTGCTCAGCAGCATCGCTGTGATTTTTCAAATCCGTGGTGTGTGGGAGTCCTAGGCCTCACTGGGCACGTCACAGATATTCAATAAATGTCCTTTTGATAGAAGTTATAATTCACATCATTTTATTTTATAGGTACTGTGCGTTACGTTATAGCAGAGTCACGCCTGAGAATAGCTTGGTGATTATAGCAACAGTTCTGTTGTTAGTACCAGTTTAAATAGTTGGGAGGAAGCTAACGTGAAGAGTTTTCTGGTGGTGCCTTTCCGACCTGCAGCTTATCCACCTGAAGTTCCACTGCTGACTTGTCCCAAGCCGTCTCGGAGCCCAGCTAGTTGTGGAAATGTGTTCTTCCCAGAATGCCCGTTCTCAGAGTTAAAGCTGGCCTGCCACAGATGCCTGTCCATCTCTACAGACACAGGGCTAAAAGCAGAAGAGCTGGCAGGTTCCCACAGGAGGGAAGTCCATGGAAAATAGTGAAAATAGGGGAGCGAGGGGACAAAACCTGTGGTGTCCTCCGTGGGGCTGTGGGCAGTGGCCCGCCGGCCCAGGGTGTGCTCCCCGCTCACCTGTCCTGTTGTCGAAGGAGGCTGCCCTTGCAGTGAGCACCTGTTGGGCGCCTGCTGTGTGCCTGGTGCTCTGTTCTCCTTGCAGAACAGTGGAACCCACGGGAGGTGTCCTTAGGGGTGGACGGTGGAGTGGGCACTTGTGTACAGTGGGGCAGTGACACCGAGGCTGGGCACCCCTCTTGGGGGCAGCGGCAGCAGCCTGGCCTCTGCCGGCCACGCAGGGCTGGGCCGGCGTCCCGAGCCTGCTCTCCTGAGGACGTAGCGGGCTGAGTGCTGAGAGGGACGGGTCTCGAGGTTCCCGAGCCAGAGACCACGGGTTTCGGCTGCACGCGCCTCCCACCGAGACCCGGGGTCCTGTCAGCGCACACCCATGAGACCCTCACCTCTGGGGATTCATCCTCTTTTCCATCCTGTTTCACTTTCCAGAACACTTGCTATTTGATTGCATGTCTTTGGGATGAGAGTGACCTACAGTTTGAAAAACACGGTGACGATGCTTCAGTCACTGGGAACGTGAATTAAAAGAATGAAATTCAGCTGAGCTGTTTTTCTTTCTGTGGTTTTTGCGGATCATTAACATTGACAGGTGACCTGGGCTTAGGGATAATTTGCAACGTGCCAGGTCAGCTGTCCCAGGGCCACGGCAGGTAACCCTTATCCCACTAAGCAGCGGACTAGCGGGAGTGTCCAGCTTAAAATAGCCCGGACACAGCCTGCTCTCCACGCGCCCGGTGCTGGGGACCCAGTGCTGACACGTTCGGCGACATCACCGTGCAGTCACCAGGAAACGGTGCTTCTGAGTGGTTTCCTGGGTCTGGCATGAGATCTTTGGGAAGCTAGGATTTTACGTGGCTGGATGAGGCAGTATCCTCGTGTCCCCGTTAATGTGTGACTGTCGATGGATGGGACCAGAGTTCTGAGCGCTTGGTGTCAGAAGACAGGCCTCCTGTGCAGGGACGGGTGTCTGGATGTCGGGGGTGGCCCCGGTGCCATTGCCTCTCCTCCGCCCTGTGCTGTCTGGGGTGCCCGGGGCTCCCCGCTTGGCTGGGTGGCCTGGCGGGGCACTGCAGCAAGCCTCGCTAGCCCTGCGTTCCTTTTTTCTTCATTTTGGGGCCTCATTTTAGCACCGCTGAAGCATAGCGTTTTATCCTGTCTTGTGTCACTGAAAGGAAAGGAAGTAAAAGAGGAACGTGGGAGTCCCGCTCGGAGTCGTCTCCAGGCCCGGCCAGGCCGCCGGGCGTCCCCGTTGGGTGCCCACGTGACTCTTCTCTGACCTTTGTGGTTAGTAGAGCTCGGCGGCGGCTGTAGGTGGCGAGAAGCGATGAAGCGGCAGCACCGTGTGGAGGAGATTCTGACTGTTGCGAATTGTCTTTTCTGACTGTAGGTAATCGGAACGCCTCAGAGACCTGCAGCGCCCGACACTGTCGTGGTAGGAAGCCCACACACCCCTAACACCCACTTTGTCTCCCAGAACCAGTCTTCAGACCCCTCACCTTGGTCTGCCGGGTGAGCACTTGCCTAGAATTTACCCCCCAGCCTCTGGCTACGTGGCCGACCAGCACGCCAGAGGATCGGGCCCTGGCCAGCGCGTGCCCGGAGTAGACGCGTGGACCGCGCCGCCCTGTGGTTTTGGGGGTGGTGACTCCACTGCGGTTTTGGGGGTGGGCTCTGGCTTCTCAACGCAGCGGTAACTTTCACACTTTGCGCTGTCTGTACCAGAAAGTACCGTTTCTCGAACCCCAAAAAACGTGGCGGGTTTCGCAGCAGCTTCTCCTAAACAGCTAAATGTGGCCGTGGGGACAGCCCTGTGTGACGGCCACACCACCCTGTTCCTTTCCTCCAAAAGCAAAGCGATGTGAAAGCGACTTTACTCAGAGGTCAGCTGTGCAACTTTCCCTAAGAGCAAACAAAAGCAAAGATGTAGAATCGTGTCTGTATTTTTGGTTCTAAAGCAAAAATCATCAGCTCCCACAATTCGTCAGTTGGAAACTTGGGGCGACCGTTTCCTCGCTGTGGTGACTCAGGAAGGTCGGACGCTGGGGCTCCCCGCCGAGGGGAAGCGCTCCAGCCTCAGTGCTGGGCGCCAGCGGCCACGTGGCCATCAGGGTGTCTGCACTGGCTCACGTTTGCCCCCAGATTCCTGTACGTGCTGCAGAACTTCCATAACCCCCGATGTCGGTCGACATCTTTTTAAGAAGCAGCGTTGTCTGGCGCCCCGACACACATCGGACGTGTCCTGGGGTCTGCCCTTCGGGTCACGCGCCCCACTTTTCCCGAGAGCTGAAGGTACACGTGTAAGGTCCGGCCACTTAAGTTTGTTCTCCAGCCTTTAAAGGAGGAAGGGGGTCCCTGGACGGGGAGACGGAGCCAGGCTCCCGTCCCTGCTCGGCTGAGCGCAGCCCGCGGGACCCCCTCGAGGCGCCCGCCAGTCCTAGGAGGCGGGTCTGGATCCTGGGCTGGCGCTGTGTGCTGAGGCCACTGCTCTCCTGTTGTGTCTTTGAAGGAAGCGTAGCAGGAAAGGGGAGAAGAACGGCAAGGGGCTGAGGCATTTCTCCATGAAGGTCTGCGAGAAGGTGCAGCGGAAGGGGACCACGTCCTACAACGAGGTGGCGGACGAGCTGGTGGCAGAGTTCAGTGCCGCGGACAACCACATCTTACCGAACGAGTCGGTGAGGGTGTGCGCGGCGGGGCCGGCGGGGCTGGTGTGCGCGGCGGGGCCGGCAGGGCCGTGAGGCTGGCGGGGCGGGACACCCCGGCCCTCTGTCTGTGTCTCAGACGGCCTCAGACATGCAGAGAAGCTCTGAAAGCACTTCCAAAGGTCTCCCGGCCCGCTTGTGTGGTGATGCCCCCGCGTCCCTGGCGCTTCCACAGCGCGCACCGGCTCCGGCCTCGTGTGTCGGCCACCTCCCCGTGGCGACGCCCCCTGCCTGGGCTGGCGGGCCGAGCGGGGCCGTGCGGGGGGCTGCCTCTCGGGGACTGCGGACGGTGCACAGCCTCGAGTGTGTTCGGGTTTGGGGCTGTCTGGAGATCTCCCTCTGTCTCCGCCAGGCTTACGACCAGAAGAACATCAGACGGCGAGTCTACGACGCCCTGAACGTGCTGATGGCCATGAACATCATCTCCAAGGAGAAGAAGGAGATCAAGTGGATCGGTCTGCCCACCAACTCCGCCCAGGAGTGTCAGAACCTAGAGGTATCTCCAGCCCTGCGTCCGCCGCGTGTTCCTAGCAGGCGTCGGTCGTCTGCACCACTGGCGCCTGCTGAGTGTCTTGGGCGGCGGTGGGGGGCAGGTCTCCCCGCGTCCTGAAGCCCCTGATCACGTCCGTGCTTTCCCACTTGACGGTGACCCTCCGGCCGTCTGGGGCCGCGGACACTGGTGGCAGGGCCGTCAGCCCGGTCCGGGGGGGTTGCCGCCAGTGTGGGTGAACTCTGCATCCCAGTTTGTGGGGTTTTCAAAAAGATACCATAGCCGTGTCCAGAAGACGAGAAGATGGAAGAAGCTTGTGTAGTTTTGAGATTTAAGAGAAACTGGCCTGTGCCCGCAGCGTCTGCCACGTTCTAGGTTCTTCTGTTGCCCCACCGTCAGGCCCAGGGCACACGTCTTCGGCGAGGACCTTTCCTTGGTGACCCTGTGTTGCCTTGGATTTTAAAATATGCTGTGAAACCAGTTGTGATGATGCCTTATGTCGATGGCTTGTCTTTGAAGGTGGAGAGACAGAGAAGGCTGGAAAGAATAAAGCAGAAACAGTCGCAACTCCAAGAGCTTATCCTGCAGGTAACGCAGTGCCTGCCGCGGAGGCAGCCTGATTGCTGTTTGGTGGCGTCGGCCCCCCTCCGGGTGTTTGCGTTTTGGACACGTGTTCTCCGCTGGGTGGCTGCCTGGGGCTTGCGTCCCCCGGCTGCTCTGGTCTCTAAGCGGGTGCCGGGCAGGGCCGCTGAGGACGCCCAGGGAGGGTTAGGTGGCCGGTGGCAGCAGGTGTGGGTGCGCGTCAATCGTGCATCTTTTTAGCAAATCGCCTTTAAGAACCTGGTGCAGAGGAACCGCCAGGCGGAGCAGCAGGCCAGCCGGCCGCCCCCCGCCAACTCCGTCATCCACCTGCCTTTCATCATTGTGAACACCAGCAAGAAGACGGTCATCGACTGCAGCATTTCCAACGACAAGTAGGTCATGGTGGGAAGGGCCTTGGCCTCGTGAAGATGCCTGGTCGGGGGGCGGGGGCAGAGAGAAGGTGGCCCGTCTGGTTGATTTGCTGCGGGTCTAGCTTATAGCCACCAAGTACGATCTTTTCAGCGTAATTACCTTGCAGGTGTCCTCCTCCCTTCCCTGAGTGTGCGGCTCCTTGGGAAGGAGGAGTGTTGTCAGGACAGCAGGCGGTGCTCAGGGCCCAGCCTGGGGCGTCCTGGGGCGGCCGGCAGCCCCGGGCTGCGTAGGTGCCGCCCGCGCTCCCTGGTTGCTGGTGCTGAGTTGGTGGGTTGTGTGGCTGAGGGAGGTTTGGGGTGAGTGGGGTGTCCCGCTCGGGGCCCCCGAGCCAGGGGTCCAACTCTGTCGTGGAGACGGCGCTCTTCTGACGGTGACTTTCTCCTCTAGGTTTGAGTACCTGTTTAATTTCGACAACACATTTGAAATCCACGATGACATCGAGGTGCTGAAGCGCATGGGGATGGCCTGTGGGCTGGAGTCCGGGAGTTGCTCCGCCGACGACCTGAAGGTGGCGAGAAGTTTGGTGCCGAAGGCGCTGGAACCCTACGTGACAGGTCCGCTCCGTCCTGGACGGAACGCCCGCCCCCTCTGCTGGGGTTGGCTTGCGCCCGGTGCCCAGAGCAGAGACAAGTGGGACGTGGGACGTGGGACAGTGGCGGGCTGTGGGGTGCCGGTGCGGCAGCAGCAGGACGCCATCTGGCGGGGCCGTGGCCCCTCGGGACGGGGGGGCGGGGGATGGCGACAAGGCCGAGCCGTGTGGTTCATACGGTGCAGGTGTTACGTCAGGATCTCACCTTCCAGGTAGGGCCCCAGGTCTGTGAGGAGCGTGGCAGGCGTGGACCCGACCCCAGGGAGTGGCTTAGTCACTGCAGCAACCCTGGGCCTGCCCCCGATGGCAGGTGTGGGGAGCCTCCTGGGTCCCCGGCGTCCGTTCTTCCGGCTCCTTGGCTGAGCTGGGGGGCTCCCAGCCACCGAGGGGAAGGGCTTTGTGGTGAGAGAGGAGAAGCTGCCCCTGCGCCTCTGGTGTGGATTTACTCCCTGAGCGCTCCCAAGTGGCTCAGAATAAGTGGGCGTCTGGCCTCAGACGTGGCGCCTCCCACCCCCTCTCGATGCAGCAGCTGCCCTGTGGGACCTCCGCTGCCCTCCCCACGGCCCCCGTTCTTGGCGATACAGCTGTGTCCAGGACGGGGATCGACATAGGTCCTTCCTCCCCTTGGGTCCCGCCTCTGTGCTATGGTGACGGTTGCCCTTCCGTGGCTCAGTGGTGGCGTCGTCGGTGGCTGCACTGATTCAAAGAAGTAAAGGGAGGACTTCCGTGCTGTCTTTGCGAGGCTTGGTCCGGTGGCCGGGCCCAGCGAGCGGGCTGCCTTCTGGCTGGTAGCGGGCATGGCGCTGGGCGGCCCGAGGGGCCTCGCCTGGAGAGCCGTCCCGTCTCGGCTCGTGGGCCTGTTTCCTGCGGTCTCTGCTTTGTGAAATTTGCTTTCTTTTCTTTCTCTTTCCAGAAATGGCTCAGGGATCGCTCGGCGGTGTCTTTGTCACGTCGGCAGTTCCAACTGCCAACGGCACGAGGCTCTCTGCCAGGTAACTGCCGTCCCCGGCGGGGCCTGGGGGTGGTGGGGCCACTGTCACCGGCTGCGGGACGCCTGGAGTCGGGGCGCCCAGAGCAGGGCAGACCTCCCCCCACTCCGGATGCCCCCCGAGAGTCACTCAGAGCTCGTCCTTTGTGCAAAGGAGATTTGTTTTTTCTGATTGGTTTCTTTCCTCTAAAGGTTAAAAGTAGTACACAGCTTTTATTTTTTTGAAAAGTACTTCAGTGAAGTGCGGGCAAAGTCCCCTGAACCCCACGGCCGCAGCCTGAGTGACAGAGGCCGTTTCTCCATCTCTTCTTTTTCTTTTTAATACACTTGAAGTCACAATACGCATATAAGGTTCCTTTTTTTCAGGTCACCGTGTATTGAGTGTATTTGATATTATCGAAGGAGCTTTATCATTTAAATCAATGTGTATTTGACTTTTGACCTAGCAGTCCCACAGAGCAGAAGTGTCAGACCTCAGGGTTTGTCTTAGTTTTTTGAAGATAAATGTAAAGTAATACCAACGTTAGGTATTGACAAAACGGTGGTTTTATTTTTTATGTAGTATTACGTGTCATACATATTTATATCAATTCTAAATATCAATAAATGTTCCTAAAGTGTAAGTGAAATCAGCAGAGTGTAGGTCCAACAAAATGGAATTGACTAATAAGTCACGTGTGCACACCTTCGAGGGGGCTCTGTGGGCACCATGTCCCCCGGTCCCCGTGCAGCGCTGGCCCGGCAACAGTGCAGCCCTGAGGGAGGGGCGGGGTCGCCCCGTGAGGGCCCCAATGCCCGTGGGGTCTGTGTCGACCTCCGGGGCTGAGGGAGGCCCCAGGGTGTCTGCACCTGTTTGGATTTGGACTGAGGTTGGTTCCGTTTTTAACTTTGAATCTGCCGCTGTGTGTGTAGCCCAGTCTGTAAAATCTGAACGCTGGTTATACCAAGAGGTGGAATTTGGGTATTTCCTAAACGTTCTTCTTTAAGAAATTCTTTTTATTGATTAAATTTCAGAGGCTCACGTCAGGTTTTCTAAAGAGGGAAGCAAAGCCATTACCATCTCAGAAGAGAAACTGACCTTAGTGGTGGATACGCTGTTTTTACAAAGGCCCTTTTTGTTCAGTGAGCTGCCTTCTGGTTGAACGTTTAGGTGGTTCCCAGTTACAAGAAAAGCTGCAACGAGCCGCCTGATGGCTCAGTTTTCCACTCTTCCTGGCTTGGTCTCCAGGCTGGCTTTCCCAGATGTGGGATTACTTTGTCCAAGAGCAGCATCAGTAAATACCAGTGAAAGGTATCAAGATACATGCGTGTGGTTTTCTGATAACGGGAAAACACCTTTATCGTTAGGAATCTGTGCAGCTCTGCCCTGTGGGATTTCTGTGGTGCCACAGGCCTCTCAGGGTCCTGACCTGCGTGGCGGGACAAGAACCCTTTTACTCAGTCATCACCCTCCCCAGCCCCGTGCCGTCTGATTCAAGTGTATCACGGCCGCGTTTCCAGGGTGGTTCTGACCCTTTCATGTCCTGTTATCTTTAAACAGACTCACGGTTTACCAAGTAAGCTCCTCCGTTTTGTGGAGAGCAGTTGAAGGCCGCAGGTTGGGCGCAGAGAGGATGCTGTGAGGCCCCCCCGGGGGTGCCGCTGTGCCTCCGCATGGAGACAGGCCTCCTCCGAGTCTGGAGCCTGGATGACCTGTGTCAAGTTGTAGCCCTAGGTCGGGGTCCCTTCGGGGCCTTCCCTTGCTGTTCAGCTCAGACATGAAGACACTGAATGACTTGTGACGGTGCCTGAGCAAGTTGTAGCTCAGAAGAAACGTCGCCTTCCCTCCCCTCGTGGTGGGCGTGGCCATCTCCCGTTGGTGCCCTGGGACCGTAACTGACCACAGCTGACCCTTCGCGTCTCGTGTGCGCTGTGCTGGGACGCGGGCGGTGGCTGAAGCCGCCGGGGTTCTTTGCCCAGGATTCTGGCTCCTGAAGCCCCTCCATTCTAGGCCAGGGTCTCGCCCGCGGGCCTGTTGATGTTTTGGGCCGGACCACCCTTTGCTGTGGGTGCTGCCTGTGCCTTGTGGGGCACTGGGTTGTGCCCTCGGCCTCAGATGCTAGCACCCCCCCCCCCCCCCCCGCCCCAGTTGTGGCAACCAGAGGTGGTCATGTGTTTCCGGATGAGGCTCCCAGGAGCGTGATGCAAACGCAGGTGGGTTCCAGCGACCCATTTGAAGACGAGGGCGCGGGGCTGGGCAGCCCTGGCTGCTCTAGAGCCCAGCCCCGCAGCTCTGCCCCCTGGGTCCGTGGTCCCCGCCTGGGCCCACCCCAGGGGCCATCGTCAGGCGGCATTCCAAAGAATAAAACCTGCAAGAGCCGTGGGTCCTCGGGGCCGTCCTGGAGGCGCAGGCTGCAGTAAGACGCGCCCGTCACCCCCAGCTTCCTGGCCGGCATGGACGCCAGAGGAGCTGAGGGTGGGGCCTGGGGTGGCATTTCCACAAGCGGGCACACGCACACGCCAGCACACGCTCACTGGGTGCCCCTTTACTCCCCGGCTCCCAGCCTTCAGGGAGGTCAGGGAAGTCACAGGCGGAGGCCTGGGAGGAGAGTCTCGGGGGTTTTCCGGTTGGTGTGCCCGAGTCTCGCTTCCGACATGATGATAAATGGGGAGGACTCGGTGTCGGGGCCCTGCCGGAGGCCCTCGTCCAGTGGTGATGTGTGAAGGGGGCGTGACGGGTGGCGTCAGCCTCGGGGGCGCTGGGCTCTGTGCTGCACGTGGGTGAGGCTTGCCGTTTCGGTTCGTGTAGTTGAGAACACCCGGACCTCCCGGGGATGCCGGCCCGTCTCTGGCGCCGCAGACGCCGCCACTGACACCTCCTGTCCTTGCAGTGACCTGGCCAACGGCGCGGACGGGGCGCTGGCCACGAGCTCCAGCGGGTCGCAGTACAGCGGGTCCCGGGTGGAGACCCCCGTGTCGTACGCTGGGGAGGACGACGACGAGGACGAGGACCTCAACGAGAATGAGGGGGAGGACTGAGCCCTGCCGGCTCCGGGGACACGCCTGGGGAGGAGAACTGCTGTGAACGTGGGTCTTTCTGTTTCTTTTGCCCTCCTCCCAAGAAGAGCTCGCTGAGCCGCTGGGCTCGGCACGCGCCACCGATGAGCAACGCGCCGTTCTCTGCGGGGTCCTGACGAGCTGCGCCGTCTGATGCCGACGCACGGCCTCTCTTGACTCTTCTGGATTTTGTGTTTTCGTTTGCTGTTTTTTAAATTCAGAGTTCATTTCGCCCCTTCACAGTTCTTGCCGAGTTTGCTGGAGACGTTGCGCTCCGTCCGCGCCGAGGGAGATACAGGCCCTGCTGCCCGGCGGGCCCGAGGCAGCCGCCGAGGGGGAGGCACCGCGGAACCGGCAGATGGCGAGGCTCTGCCTCTCGACGTCTTATTACGACCTTACTTCCCTTAAATTATACTGACTGCGTGACTCCATCGGGTTTCTACTTGGGTTTTGCTCTGTGTTGCAGCTAATGAATTGCGAAGCTCTGTTTTCGTTCCTGTGTGTTTGGTTTGGTAGGAGTTTACTGCCACGCGGGTGCAGCTATGGAGACTGTCTGAGAGCTCGGAGTGGTTTATTGCTTATGGTAAAATGTGCCTGATTTCTTACAGGCAGCGTTTGGGAGCTTTTATTATATAGTTGTTTACATACTTCTAAGTCTGTCATTTAAAGACACGTACTGAAACAAATGTTGTATTTGTTTCGTAAGCATCTTCCTGTAATCTATTATAAAGTTGAAATTAAATATAGAGAATGTTTTAACAGTTTTTTAACTCAAAATTTGTCAATCATTTTTAATAGTTCTTTTTTTATAAAAAGAAAAAGGAATTTCAGGACAGGCAGTAGTCTCTTTTAAAACTTATTCACCAAGAACCATTAACTGCACAGTTGCTGTTAGCTGCCTGTTCTAAAATACTTGTCTTTCTATTGGAACACAAACAGACTTTTCTGTAATATTTTGTGGAATAAAGAGACTTTAATTGTTTGACTTGTTTAACTTGGCACTGTTAGTTTTTATTAATAAAGTGCGCATGGGCATTTTAAACAAGTCGTGTGTCCCTCTGATTCGGGATTGCTGTCTGGAGCTCGTTTTCTCCCGTCAGCCGGGCCCTTCTCTGGAGGGAGGAGAGGGTCCAGGCCCAGCAGTGCACACAGGACCCGCCGAGGCCCCCAGCCTGTCCTGCCGCTGCCCGGCGGCGGGGCCGAGGAAGGAGGTCCCGGGGACGCGGCCAGTGGTGGGGAGAGAGTTTGTGCTTTGCCTGGCTTTTAGAAGAAACGTACCCACGGCCTTTAACGTGCGAGTCCTTACAAAACGTGAACTTTGCAAACACACACATCCCCGAAAGGTCACGAAGCGCCCCAGGGAAGCAGGGGGCGGAGGGACTCAGGCTGGATGCCCTCGTGGACACGCCCATGGTGAGAGAGCCAGGCCGAGGGCGTTCCCTGCCTTTCTCCCGGCTCCTTGAAGCAGAGACAGATTTTATGGATTAGACTTTCGGAAAAAGAGTCAGATTGTAAGGTAAGATGGGGCAGCTCAGTGTTTTATTCACGTTGGTCTAAGGCATCCGTGAGTGTTGCGGTGCAAGGTTGCGGCCTTGGGCAGAGTCGTGTCTCCTGAGGGCTGTGGCAGTTCCTCCTTTCTTCCTGACTGTGGCTGACTGAAGTGTCCTGAGGGCTGTGGCTGGAGAGACAGGGGCAGTGTCTCCGGCCGAGTCCCCTGCAGCTGCGCCCCTGCTGCCTCTCCTCCTCCAGGGCACCCGGGCGGGTCTGGCCAAGCTGGGCACCCGGGCGTGGGCATGAGACCCCCGACACCGACCTTCCACCGGTGGTGACGCAGGTGACCGAGCGTCTGCTGGTTCCGTTGCCGCGGGAGCGCCTTGGGCAGGGGACGAGGTTCTGGCACCGTCGCCTCTCCTGCTCTTCCTGGTAGGTGCTCAGCTGCGGCCCAGTCATCCTGGAGCATCACCCGTCAGGGGGTCCAGCCTGCGTCCTTCCACGCCCGCTTCCCTGCGGTGTGGTCTGTGACCTCTAGGGGAGGTGTTCGATTCCAAAGTTCACGTCTTACAAGCTGGTGAGTAGTGGGGTTCTGCAAACCAGGAGGCCTGTGGCTACTTGGGCCGAGTACTGACCCTGGGCGTTGGCTCAGCAGTGGTCCGCGGGGCGTGTAAGCGAGCTCCCGAGAGAGGAACGTCCGAAATCGAACCTAGGCCTCTGACCTCTGACCCCAGAGCCTGTGCCACCCCTCCCCCAAGCGCTGGTTGTTCCGTGTATTCGACAGCAACTTGACAGAAGGTTCTAGCACTTCTTTCCAAGGGGCGCTTTGTGGTCGGCAGGTGGCCAGCTCTGAGGTTCCCTGTCCCCTGCACCCCCCGCGGGGGGGCAGCCCCTCCAGCTGCTGCACCTCAGTTTCCTTCCCTGTGAAATGGGATCAGCAGCCTCGGCCTCCCAGGGCAGCCGAAGGAGGGACCCCGAGGCAGGCAGCCTGCTGTGCTCGGACCCCGTGACGTGCGCCCCACTCCCCACCCCCATCGAGGCCTCGGTGTCTCTTCTGGGGTGGCTGGACCTCTGACCTCCAATGTGTCGTGACATCCCTCAGGTGGCCTGATCTCTGGCCTGACGTGGCACTTCCCAGGTGGCTCAGGGTTTTTGCCGGTGGGGTCGGCAACGCGGAGCAGAGACACCCGTACCCTGGGCCCTGGTGGCCTTCGGGGCTGGGCGGCGGGTCCCCTGTCCCCTGAGCCTCTGCGGGGCTTCTTCCGTGGGGTTAGGACTCTGGGCTGCCAGCTCCGGGTGGGGTGAAAAGTGGGCGATAGGTGAGAGCAGGTTTGTCCTTGGGACAGAATGGGTTTTCTGAATGGCCTGGGGCTGCAGACCGCCCCCCCCCCCCCCCCCCCCGCCCCCGCCGCCCTGGAGGGGAGACTGTGCTCCTAGGAAGGTCACCTCTGGGGTTTGGGCTCCGCTGCGTGGGGACACCCTTACGTCCCAGAACTGTGCGCTCTCGGGGCAGCCCCTCCCACTCCGGTTTGTAATGTCCCCGACTTGCAACTGAAAGTGTTAAAGGGAGAGGTTTTTCAGTTCATTAATTTTAGTTAATTCTTTTTAGTTAATTTAGTTAACTGAATTTGTTAGTCTGAGTTTTTAGTTAATTTTTCCCCCTCATCAGGAGAGACACGACTCTTTTACATAGATTAAGCGTGAATTTAATAAACTTGATTTTTACAGTTTAGGAATTGTGTTTTTTAAAGCCGGCAACCAGAATGCATGAAATCCTAAGTCACGTTTCATATCAACGCACTCCCGGTCTTCATATTAACGTATAGAAAAAATAAATTACAGCAGGAAAGGTGATGTCTGCGCGGAAGAGATGAGTCCTTTTGGGGTCTTGTTAGTTGCACAGCTGCTGCCCTAGGGTCACCGTGTTAGCCCAGCGTTTTTATCGTGGCTACAATTCTACCTAAAAAGTGACAGAGGTTTCACAGGAGTCTGGCTCCGAGAGCTGGGCGCACGGGGGCCTGTCTGGTGCGGAGGTGCCTCGGGTGCCGGGTTTAGCTGGACGCGGCGTCTGCGGTCACCCTGCACCTGGGGGCCAGCCGCCTGGCTCCTCTACTTCTGGATTTTAAGCTTGAACTCCACCTTCCCCTCATAGGGGTCATGGGGGTTGTCGAAGGTCACGTGCTCCGCCAGGATCTTGCACACGATGACAACCTCCCTGTTCACGGGGGCGTTGAGAAGCTTCGCGGCCACCAGCGGGTTGCTGTAGTGGGGCTGAGGTGGATGTGCGTTAGGACCCTCGAGGGCGGCCGGGCGCTTGGCTGGGTGCTCTCACGTCGCCCAAGAGCCGCCCGGGACTCACTGGGACACAAATGTCTCCCTGCTTAGAAACGAGGAAACTTGGCCCGGGGGGCGGGGACAGACAAGTGACAGATTCAACTTCAAGTTACAGTTGATGAAAATTAATATAAAAACAACAGAGGATAAAGCAAGAGATTTGGAGAAAATGATTTTAAATGGATGCGCAGTTGTCTAGGGGCCTTCTAAGGAGGCCCCTGGGAGGTAAAGCATTAGGCGGGATATTTATTCTGTGTGAGAATGACCTGTTTTCAGGTAGTTTTCAGGTATTTGGGAGAACAGGGGTTTGGGAAGCACCCGAAGATTAAGTGGTCCGGCTGGGCTAAGTACGGCCTTGTTTCGTTTTTGCAGGTGAAACATTTAGGGCTTTCCTTCTGCTAGCGATTGCTCAGTTTCGTCTGGTTCCGGAGCAGCTGTGGGGGACAGTGGTGCACACGTACCTGGGCCTTCTTCCCGTAGTAGGGGAAGTAGTGTAGGCTGTAGACGCCTTTGGGTGGGAAGTACTCCACCTGCAGGGCCGGGGCATCCGGGTGCTGGTCCTGCGGGCGAGAGGCCGCTGTGAGAAAGGCCGGATCTGGCGCGCTCGTGTCCGTGCCACGCATGCTTCTGCACGCAGGTCCACGTGTGTGCGTACGTGTGCACCGTGACCACACGTGCAGTTGGCGCTAGATCTAATCTTTATCATCAGCCAAGAATCCATTGAGGGTGTAATTTGTTCGTTTGCAAGACCCCGGGTGACTTTTCAAGCTTGTGTTTTTTTCCATTTTAAACCCTCTTAGGATAAAAAAGGTGACAGAGCTGAGCGTGTGGGAATGAAGGCCCACAAGGCCTGGCGGCTGATCTGCCGAGACTGGGGAAGGACCCACACGCTGCCGTGGGGTTTGCTTCCTCTCACTGTCAGAGCCAGCGACTTGCCCGACGGCTTGAGCTCGTCCGAGGGCAGAGGAAGGGTATTTTGGTGTCTGTGCAGATTCCGGGTCAG